TTGGGCCCCTCAGTTCAAGAAGGACACTGAGTTGCCGAGTTGCCGGAGTGTGTCTAGAGAAGGGCAACAAAGCTGGTGAGGGGTCTGGAGCACAAGTCTGACGAGGAGCGGCGAGAGAAAATGGCCTCAAGTTGTGCTGGGGGAGGTTTAGGTTGAATACTGGGAAAAACATCTTCACGGAAGTGTCAAGCATTGGAACAGGCTGCCCAGGGGAGTGGTCAAGTCCCCATCCCTGCCTGGAGGTTTTTAAAAGACGTGTAGATGTGGTGCTTAGGGACCTGGTTTAGAGTTGGACTTGACAGTGTTAGGTTCACGGTTGGACTTGATGATCTGAAGGGTCTTTTTCAACCTAAATGATTCCGTGATTCTGTGATCATCTGTGAGCCACATATTCACAATGTTAGCAATGATTTAATTGGTGGCGCTTGCTCATAATGCACCCAGAACCCAAGAGGAATTAGCACTGTGCTAAAAGTACAGAGGCTGATAGTTCTGATTTAAACAGCCTCACTCCTATTAGTGTTTCTGCACATTTATGTATCTGTGATTACCTGGAGTTTGATTCCTGTGTTAGAGGACTCAAGGTTACTGATGGACTAATAGGTTGTTGCTTGAGAAGGAGAAAGAATGCTTAAAATAGAGTAAGATGTTGACTTTTTAAACTGTAGTCTGTGCTTCATCATACAGTCTTTCTGAACTCAGTTATGTCATATATGTGCACAATATGAGGTGCAGAACAGTGAGACCATACACAGAAGATTATGTAAATTACCTTGCCAAAACTGCAGTTCCTAAGTTGGTCAGGCTGCGCTTTGCCACATGCCTGTGAAAAGGGGTACGTGGAGCTGCTTGGAGCTGTGCCTAACTTAAGCAGAACGTACTCCTAAGGTAACTGTTCCACTCCTGGTGGTGAACCTATCCCAGGTATCGCTATGGAGTTCTGTATTTTTCTGCTTAAATTCTTGACTCTGAAAATGAGTCCTTGATTTAGTTCCTGCTAACACTGTTGAGAGATGGGTAGGTGCTGCTGAGCAGCTCAGAACAGGGTCCAGAGCCCCTGGTGTGCTTTCCACCGCGGTCATTTGGGCAGTATCAATGCGTGTAGTTTCCTCTGTGGGCTGGTCCTCTTAGCAGATGACTTAGGCAGTCTTACTGTTTCTCAAGCTGTAAACTTTTATATTGATAGTGATGCTGATGTAGCAGAGGTTTTGTGTGTTTGTTTACAACACAGCAAATACAGGATGGAAAGCTGTGTTCTCTAAAAGTTTTATCTGACTACCTCGGGTTAGTATGGAACTTCGCGCTTACTGTACTATTGTGGGAATCAGGGGGTTATGTCTTGTCATTCTATACAACGTGTCCTCTGAGCACACAGAAGACCTTTAATAATTTGCCTTCTCAGTTGGAAAGAATCTTTGAAATAAAAGTTTGGTCCCGCATCTTTGTCCTGGCTTTCTACAGCGTCTTTACATAATTTGTGCTAATTTTAATTGTTTTAAAAATGCCAGAGATTATGGCTGTTTAGCTCCTTACTAATCCAAGCCTAGCTAAAACAGCAAGAAGAGGTGGTGGCTTTGGCTTCTATGGCTAGATTAAGGTTGAAAGGGAAGTTTTTCTTTTGAGATAATTTGCTCCAGTTGTAGAGCGTATTCTAACGGCTGGAGCAACTTGATTCATGGAAAAGAAACCATGGAACAGATGCTGTGTTGTGTCTTCAGAATACCACTTCATAGGTGAAAGCACCAAATACAGCACTGTGGGGCCAGTAAACCCTGTGTGCTTACCAGTAGCCGGGCAGCTGTTGCTCTGCATAGTTTAGAAATATTTTTCTTCAAGGTTACAGTATCTTGGGATCTCAAATCCAATCCCTGTAGGACAGTTTGATGTTGTTTGCCTAACGATTTCTCCAGAAGAAATATGTGCACTGCTGTAGGAAGCAAAGGATCTATTACTTTAATGATTTTTTAGTTTGTTCTCTGAATTCTACCCATAATGTTTTTGAAACATTTACGAGTGATAATAATTTAGGAATAATAGCAGTGTCTTTAGTAAACTAATTATCTCAGCAAGGTAGATGACTCAAGTTCTTCTTTAAGCTTTTGTAGGCCTTGCAACCTCAAACAGCAATAATAAGACTGGCTGTGCTAAGACAGTCTTTGCTAACCCAGAATAACTTAGTAGGGGGTGGAAGGTTTGGCAAAGCAGTCCATTCCTCCTGCTCTCACATTACAAAATTTAGACTTTTATTTATTGATGCACAGGGACTCTTTTGTTGAGAAATCAGTTTAAGTTTGTTGTAAAGTGATAAATTACTCAGGCACATGTTTGGGTGGTAGAACTCTTCCACACAGTATTAGAGAAGTCAGAAGGTTTAAAAATAAATAATTATAGGAATAGTAAAAATTTATTCTGCCTAATTATATAGGACAAAAGGACAAATCTCATGGGCATTATTTCAGCTATTGGACTGGTAGTTTGTTTAGATGCAGGGTTGTTGATGTCCCTTGTCTGACAAGCTCCACAAAAATTTTTTTCCTGCATGACTGTGAGTCTAAAGCACGCTACATGAGGTGAAGAGCTGAAGGGAAGAGTTCCAAAGGAGCCCCAAGAGCAGTTCCCAGGCAAGAGATGATAGTGGCAGCCAGAGTCATCCACTGCTCTATCGTGTGACAGGAGGGAACATGCTGCTGGGTTCCAGAGGGGCCTTGCAAGATGCCTCCAGTTTCTTCTACCGCCAGGGGTTTGTTGGGTTACCCTAGTATACAATTCCTACTTAAATGGCTTTTGACCTGTGTTGCAGATCAGGATCTGGCATTCTGCTTTCCTTGGCTTACATTTGTGATTCAGACAGAAAGTCTTCAGATACACATTTGTGCAGAGAACCTAGATCCTCCTCCCCTGGCCATAGCAAATCCTGCCCTTTTTCCCTTCTGCCTGACCTTCTAGAAGTCACAAGGAAGCATGGGCATCCACAGATGAGCTGTGTCCCTTAGACTTATTTAGGTGTGTGGGCCTCTGCGTAAGATACTTAAACTGTAGTTCAACACTGGTAGTGTTGAATGGCAAAATTACCAAGCCGGCACCGAAAATTCTGTATTATGAATCTGTATATG